AAAAAAAAAGTTGCAATTTCTTGCTTAATCATATCATAGATTGAAGGATATAACACTAATTATAGGTATTAAAACAAGGTTTTACTAGGGATTTCATTTCAGACATGTCTTTGTTCATCATAAATAAACATACACAAAATGTGGTGAGGCGCTCCTGCCTAATTAATACATTACCAAGACCGTGTAAAATCTCCTGCTTCACCTTGTTGCTAGCTGCATTGCCACCATAGTTTGTTGACTTCTGAAGAGCATGCTTGTAAACGTTAAGTACTGATGTAAGGCATGCCAGTGGTAAGTTTCCCTGATTGACAAAATAACTTCAGTGATTTCTTTCATAGACATTTAAGCTTCAAATTAAACATCGAGGATTACTCTTAATCTGTTCCACAAAATTCGAAAATTACCTTGGAAGCATGAGAAACGACAGTTATTTGCAAACAGTTTATTGCCGCAAGAGCAACCTCTTTACTACCTTTTAGAATGCTATTTTCCACAAATAGAAGCAAAGATTCCCACCCTGAATAAATTAATACCATGTGTTATTGTTGAAACAGCTAATTGAAAAGTGAAGAACATGAGAAAGCAGTTGCATCAAAAGCCAATAAATTGGCCTACCTGATTTGAAACTGCTTAAGCTTCTGAGGAAAGGAAAGAAAGAGCGTAGAATACGAGCTATTCCACCAAGTATAAGTACAAGTGTTTCATCCCACTGTTTTTGAGCTGTGTTACGACTGAAAATGCATTTTACATGAGGTATTGGATAATAAGAGAAGAAAAGAAAAGAAACTTTATTGGATCCCAAAAGGAGAGAAGAGAGAAATAAGGACCAGTGACCTCAACCATTACCTATGATGAATGAGCATGTGGACTGCTTTCCCTCCACGAGTTCCAAGTTCTTTCCCTTGCCATTCATCTTTTGATGAGGCTGCGGCCTAAATTGAAAACATTAAGATCACCGTAGTAGATAAAAGAAACAGATCTGGATTGATATTTCACAACAACTTCTAACTAACCATGTGAGAAGCGCGGTCCAAAGTAGGGAAAACATATGTCCGAAGGCAATCCTCCCACATACTTTCAGAAAGTTTCTGTCCATGACTACCAAGAGTCTGAAAAAGCGTTCTCACTGCTGAATTCCTAACCTGAGTAACCAATTAGTTTCTTCAGAATTGCTAACAAATTCAGTGATTCACTAAAACCATACAAAGGCTATATAAGATGACATCATTAGCTAACAGAGTTTCTTTATCTCCTACCAAAGAGAGAATATAAAAAATACACTCC